AAGCTCGGGGCTTGATTAGTGCAGTTAGCCCTTCTAAGGCTCTGGCTGTTTACAGTGGATTACAGGGAGGGAGGCAGGGGTTAAGTCTACCCAGGCACAATGCTCGGCCCCCTCCCTCACAGGAGCCACTGCAGCAGGGCTGGCAACTCGTTTGGGCTTCACATCGCGAGGCCAGGCTGACAGGTAGCAGGATTTGGCAGAGCACTTTGCATGAGAGCCAACATGAAAAACTGAACATGCCGGATTAGCTCAGGATTATGTTGTCAGAGTTAGTCTTGACGGACAAACTGCAGAGGAATAAATTGCAATCTGTTTGAGGAGCACGCTGCCACGCAAACAGAAGAGACATCAGCTTGTCTCACAGCGTGTCCAAAATGACGAGAAATGCGGGGAGTCATTAATAATTTATAAACAAGGTCCTCGGCCATTACTGACATTTGCCCACTCTGGCTGGACAAGGTGTCTGGTTGTCTAACCCCTAAGACCAGGAGCTGGCTCATGTTAAATCTTAAAACCAGAAATGACAGGGAATGTATAGAGAAAAAAAAAGGTTAGCTACTTCTCTGATTTAAGACAATCATGTTTCAGATGAAACGGTGTGGGAGAAGTAGATAGCAAGATGTAGATTTACCCATGGCCTTTTCCAGTGTGTCAGTTGATATTTATTAGTTTACAGCTTCGAATGATTTTGGCACTTGCAGCATATAAGGATTAGATAAATCTGCAGAAACTGCTTATATAGCTTTAAGGAAGGCAGTGGAAACCAGTAAACAAAGCCTGGTATTAAGTTTATGAGCCACTGATTGGAAAACTGTATTTTTTGCATTATTTTTGTTCATGTTTTTATATTGTGATTTTTAATTATTTATATATTTAAGGGGTGGGCCGGGGTTGTCTGTGACGAGCTGCTTCACATAAGCAACAAAAAGATTAGCATGGTGATTGCCTCGAAAGATGACTGACCTATTAAAAGCACACCTACAGTATGAAATAATACAAAAAAATAATGAACAATTCCCTAAAAGTATAAAAGCGATAAAACTGATGCATTTATTTTATTTTATTTTATTTTTTTGGCTCCTTCTTGTTGAAAAGAATCAGTTCAGTGTGAAGCCAGTGCAGCAGCGTTCTCCTGATGGGAAATGACTGGCATGGTAAAACGCATTAATGAGCCTTACTCTATTCTACCCTTTCCTTCGTCATTATGAATGCATGCCTGTATGTTAAACATATGAATATGCATCGGCATAGAGCATTTGCTCTCAGAGTTAGCGGCGAGTCTGCGCTGTGTCTTGAATGATAATCTAGTCTAGCGAGGAACTGCATTTTCTTCCCCCTAAGCTTTTTTTTCTTTAAGTAATAAAGCGTCTATTTTGCGTTAATGCCACATTGTGCTYACCGTGCGCTTCTGTTTGCTCGCAGAATAAAAAAAGTAAATATTCTGCTGCATGTCTACATTAATTTTCATGATGCATCTGCGATCACTGTATCCTGCGATGTGTTGGCATGACTTCTCTCCTGTGCTCTGGTACTTTTGGTTTTAAGTTTGTGGACAAATACGTTTGACAGAGGCGCATTTGAGTCCTGTATGTTTTACTGCACAAATCCAGCKCAGTGTTCACAGCCACTCTGTCAGACTGAGGGTGATTCAGAGGTCAGCACAGGTCACCGAGTAAAGGTTAATAAATTACCACAATACCTCTCACACAGCTGATTGATGCTGAGTGGGGGAGGGGTGCAGATGGAGGTTRGGGCTAGATAAGGTAAACCTAAAGCACGGAACGGTAAAACAAAATATAGACAAAAGCAAACAAAAGTGATGTCTTGTCACACCTCTATTAATGTCATGTCATTTCACAGCCTCTTGACCAAAATACCAGTTGTAAGCTTACTTGATCACTATTAATATGTTGAACTGTAGACAATAGTGAATAGTTGTGCTGTGTGAGAGCTGCAAAGTGTAAAATTTGATTGAACTGAGCCACTGGGTATCTTTTGTGTTCTTTCCCTCTTAGTAAGTGTGGTTTTATGCAGCAGCTCTAGCTCAGAACAGATTTATTTTGTTTTATCAATTAGGAGTAATCAATCAAACCCGTTCTTGATCATGCGTTCATCAGAAATGTAAAGAGACAAAGTAGCGAGTTGAGGGAGGAACCAAGGTTGCAGATTTACTGACAGAACAATTAGAGGGAGCTAATCTGCTATCTGAGCTAAATATTCCAGATAGGGTGGGCATGCAGCAGGGTGACGGACCATCAAGGGACCCGGTGAGGAGGGGGTATTAACCCCACGGGGCACCATGAGGGCGTTGATTGATTTATCTGGGTTAAGGTGCTTTTTAATGTTCAAACGAATCAGCAAAAACGCTGAAAATAAATACACTCAAACTTTAAACTCAGGCAGTAAAACACTCACCAGAACAGGCAAGGAAGAAAACATAAACTGTAAGTGAAACAAAAGCTGACAGTTAATGTGCGGTATGACGGCCAAAATTAAAACTATTGTGCACCAGTGTTTGCTACATCCTTCTAGCAGGAGGCTATAGCAGGAGAGGATTGCAAGCATGCCTCAGCTGCTCACCTACTTTATTACACACAAACTGTTTTGAATAAAAAAAAATTCTCAACAAAAATCAAGAAAAATATCTGACATTATAAATTATAATTCAATATAGCAAAGCCTAATTTAATAACCTGTCAAATACTGTAAAAAAGCTCCAACTTGATAGTTAGCTTTTTTAAATAATTTGGCTGTGAGAAAAAAGCCACCACCATCGACCAAAGGGCAAATGCAGCTGCTAATTCAGGTAGTAACTAAAACTGTCTGCTTCACAGTAATATAAATGTTTAACATTTATGCTTGACATCATGTTGAACAGTAAATACTGTCAGTGCCTGCCACTTTTAAGTTTTGCATGTCAACCATTTTTGTTGAGAAAGTTTTATTCATTCAAACGTTTTTGTCTGATAAAGCAGGTGACCAGCCATGCTAGTTGCTAGTCTCTCCAATGCTAACACCAGCTTATCCATGCTAGTTTCTAGCCTCTCCAGTGCTAACGCCAGCTTATCTATGCTAGTTTCTGGCCTCTTCAATGCTAACGCCAGCTTATCCATGCTAGTTTCTAGCCTCTCCAGTGCTAACGCCAGCTTATCTATGCTAGTTTCTAGCCTCTTCAATGCTAACGCCAGCTTATCCATGCTAGTTGCTAGCCTCTCTGATGCTAATGCAAATGAGTAGTCGCCTTCTCATTTGCCAGCGCCGACCTCTCAGTCACCAGGACAAGCTGCCCAGATAGGCTACTGGTGCCGGACTATCATTAATCATATCAATAACTGGCTTAGGAATGGATAAAGCCTCCTACTACAAGGATGTAGCAACCACTGGTCGCGCAATGGCCCTTATACCGCGCCATAGACAGTTGCCTTGACTGGAAGCTCCTCTTCTCTCAGGCTCCTGATTAAAATAGATGAGTTAACACGCAGTGTTTGGTGTGGTGACTTCTTTTTTTTTAAACTAAACATTAAAATTCCCATTTTGCCTTTGATTTTCAAACAGTATTATCTTTACTTTTAACTGGAGGGAGGGTAAACAGTAGCAATGGCGGGTCAYATGTCTCTTTAAATAAACTGTATTGTCTGATGATATTTTAATGGGCAAACCTCATTCCCTTGGGCAGTGACCCTACGGAGTGTGTTTTAGCTGYGTCCTCTGAGCAGGGTGCTGAGATGTAATTACTGTGTACATATCAGGCTATTCTCTGGCTACTCCACTGCAAAAAATATGCATTCCACTAAATCTTTCAGTGTATCACTACATACAAGATGTGCGTTCTAACAATAAAGATAGTAACGTTTTCAGACATATTGCTGYTAGACCATAATGTTAGCCAAAATGTTACCACAAAGTGACTGAAAATAAAAGTACATATGAAAACTAACCCAGAAAGTTAACAAAATTACTTTGTGTTTTACTTTACATTCAAATATGATCTTGACAAATTCTCCACTTACAAAAAAAGAGCAAACTTGACAGTTAATGAAGGGTTAACATATGTCACTCATTTTAAGATCAAATTGTCGAATGTTGTCCTTTTCTGTCTAGTTGACCTTGTTTCTTATCTCTAGACTTCCATCAGTATGAGTCATAACAGTTCAAAATATGTCTTTAATACTGTGCCAAATTAGTTTTARCAAAGAGAATATTTCTTGCAGCGGTGTCTGGGTTTATGTATGCTGTTCCACCCACTTTATTCCCACATGAGGCTCCAGTTCCAGTCAAAACAGTGAGGATTTCCATTAAAGAGGCCGCCCCAAATACTTTCTTTCTTTTTTTTCTTCTTTTTTTAAATACCAACATCCAGACTTCTAGGGATGTTTCAGAAGCAGAAGCATAAGATGACAAAGACAACTGGACAGGAAAGTTTATTAAAGGAACAAAAAGATGGAATGTTTATAAGCCTGAAGAAATGAGCAAGAGATAAAAAATAAGGCAAAGTTCATCTACTCGATTTATGCACAGCCTTCTCTGGMTGAATCTAATGATTCTTTATTTCATCCAATAGGAAATGCAAAGAAAATAGGTAGAAATTCTATCAAACACCGGATGTGTGCAGTTGATTAGTAATTCAGACGAAAGCTAACTTTGCTAAGACAATATTACAGAAGGGCTCAAGGAAATAGCTAATGAGCAATAAGCTAACTTTATCTTGGTCCAAAGCATACAGTCATCTGATTTTCTGGAAGTTGGACTCTAATTGGATTGAGAAGTGAAGAGGACAAAGAATCGCTCACAGTCATCAGAAATTCATATCTTGGGCAAATTTACTGGCTTGTATTAGCATTTGATTGAATTAACTATTGATGGGCAGCAGAAGCCCTTGTTATCCTTCTCTCCATCAACAGTCAACAGATCTACCAAGCTTCTTGCCGAAATCTTCACTCCTTTTGTAATTTAACCGTTCGCCTGTCCCATTCTTTCTCAACACCTGTCTTTTATTACAGCTCCTCCAACCACCTTTTGACTCCGTGCACAGGAAGCGGCACAGTGACGCGCATCTGTCCCGAGCCGACGCCGAGGAAGTCCCCTGATGAAGATGTAAAGTAATATCCCTGCAGCCCATGAGGTCAGYCGGACCCGTTTTACAGTCAACATGAAAAGGTTCGAGCGTCGGTCACGAGACAGGGCTGGGTCTTTGATTCAGCACGGGTTCATTGGTTCAGAAACCCTAATACAGTATGTGAAGTGACCGCTGCAGGCCTTAATTTAAATCTTTTCACACGTATGCATTGCTATGGGCAGACACAATGTTTAAAGTGAAGTTTGTTTAAAAACAAAAATGCTGGTACTAAATGCATACATGCTACTTTGTCTAGAAAAAGGGAAGCAAGTATTTTTTTTTCAGTATTTTAGCAAAAAGTACAATACCCCTACTGTGTGAAAAGTGATGTTCTCATGTTATCGTATAGCAATTGTGTTGTAATGTATCTTCATATTTTGCCGACCATCAAAGTACAACGCAGCATATTAGCACGTCAATTAACCAAACCTATCCAATGAGAACTGCCGGAGGTGATTTGTTGTAACAATGGGATTAGTCCCATGAAGTAAGCTGACAGTGGGGATTTCAGGAACAGAGTTGGGGGAATAAGGGGGCTAGTGGGGTTTGTGTTCTGTGAATCATACTGCCTAGCGTGCGATCGACACACTGCCCTCCTCTTGACTCCTTTATAAACTCTGTTACAATAACAGACTTGCCTTTCAGTCTGGTCCTAACCTTAAACCGCCCCGTCCGAGCTTCCTCCCACCCACCATCGTCACTAATACTCCACATTTCTAAAAAAAAAAAAAAAAAAAAAAAAAAAAAAACACAGGAGGGTAAAAAAAAAAGAAACAACACTGTACCTACAGAATAAAGACCAAATCTGGAGGGTATTTATTTTGGCCTCTTGTTGCCCTCAAAGCTCCCCTATTGTTGTTAGCATAACTGTGATGACAAAGATAATCTTTGTTATCATCATCATTATCATCATTCTCCACTTTAATTAATTTCTCCCGGGGGTTTGGAGCAGTAATGAGAAGCAGACACCGACTGTTTCCACCAGACTAAAAGTTCCCAACACTAAAGTCCCATTCAAGTTCAAGTCAAGGTTAACAGTGCCATCTACAGTAGAATAAAAACTAGTCCATCATGTGCTTTGAAGATGTGAGAAGTGCAGACGTGAATTAGTCTGAAGTATCAACTTTCTTGTATTGGTGGGATTTTACCAGTTATTCAGGCAGAGGTCAAATAAAGTTGGACACTTCTGAACCTGATTTGATAAGTTCTTAAACTGTAAAACTTCATCTAAAAGATTTAAAATTTTACRAGAAACTCACTTGTTTTAGTTGAAAAATGCATAGACTTTTAAGTTTGAAGTTACAAACTCTAAACATAGATGTTATGATGTGTGGTAATGAGGTCCGAGTTCAGATGGAGGCGAGGAATTTTAACTTAAACTCTGAATTTATTTCTGAACAGAACAAAACAAGAAGTTGTCTATCTTTTTTTTAACGAAAAAGACAAACATTTTGTACATCCAGGAAATCAGTGACTAAACCATGGGTAWTTTGTTTCAGCAGGTTTAGTCTGATGATACTAAGAAAATTGCTTAAATACAAAAAAAACATGCTTATGACACATTAAAATCTCACGGTAACATTTCATTTTGATAATGTTTTATGAATATTGAGTATAGATGTTGCTTTTTTCTGCTTATGAATTCATATTTGTCACGCTTGTTGATGATATAAAGATGTAACCAAACTAATCTACTCATTTAAGTAGGAATAAGACTTCATGAGAAACGTAACGTGACAGTCACAGCTCAGTGATGGGGACTGCAGAGATTCGGGACTTGAACCATTTTCACTGACAAAAAGAGGCAGAGGGAAAAAAAGGCTTGAGATGAACCTGTATTGTTTATCCTCATCCTTATCACTATTGGCTTGTAAATATTCTCTTTAATCCACTGCACGATGCCATGCTCACTCACTTACTGGCAGCTTCGACAGTTACCTCTGGATTTGCTGGGGCTTGGGCTGGAGTGGCTGCGAGAGGGAAAAGTGCTAATCTACACGGCAGAATCGGGATTAGCATGGTGAGCCAGGTGACCRGAGGGCCTGATATCTTACAGGCCACAAGAGATGTAGACCCGGGGTCCTGGGGGGGGGGCTGCCTAGAGAAATCAAGAAGGTGAGTGGCAGGGGTGGGGGTTCCCCTCCAAAACTCCAGCCTCCCTGTTTCTCCCACTCTCTGCTTTTTTTTTTTCATGCTGTTTCTCCTTCTGTCTCTCTTCCTCACGCTTTCTCTCTCTGTCTCAAGGAGCCTTGATGAGAATTCCACTAATCAGCTGAGGATTAACAGCGACTCAGACAACACTACATCTAATTCCCCCTTCATCACCGCTGGGGTAACAAGAGGCCTCACACAGCAGCATGGCGCAGACGTGTATGTGGACTTATTTCTGTGGAGCTCCTAATTGTTTTTTTTTTTACTTTGAACATCTGTGCTAACCGGTATTAGCAACTTAAGTTTTAGGGAAATTGCTCTACTGCAGTTGTAGTTTTCAATGTGCTTTTTATATGTGAATGTACTTATTAAATATTTTTGCTTTTTTTTCTGAAACACAAACGACGCTTTGCTTCTTGATTTTGATTTTTACCTTAAATAATAAAACAAAAATGACCAGGAGGCAAAAACAACGTAGCTGTGCACTGAAGAGGCTCGAATCAGCGCTTGAAATAATGTTAAGTTGTTATTTTGTATGTATTTGTGTGTTTTGTCTGGTTTTGAATATTTTTTATGGCACAAAACATGAAGACAGGATTTGATCTCTATGATTTACCCAGAACTGCTGAGTGAGGTTAACGGTGATTGCAGATGTACTGGTATCCCTTATTTATTGCACTTAGTTGTGTTGATTGTTGCAGTAGAAGAAGAGAAAACATACAAGCAGGAGGAGAGTGTAACTTTATTTCTAAATGACAAATCAGACGAGCTAATTGTTTATTAAAAAAATCATTAAAAAGCATGCTTTTGAATGAAATGCTACAGAGGTTAGTGTTTTATTCACAATGTTTTCATTTATATAATCGTTATATATTTCTATATATTTTTTTCTGATCAGCACAAGTGTGTAAGTCAGCGTGGCTGTTCCGAGTAATCCTGTAAGTATGGACAAGAACACGGCGGTCAGCTTGTGTTTTCAAAGTAACACTGGAGTCAAGAACTCATTCACTTGCCAGGTCATGCTGGGCCACCCACAAAGAAAAATAAATACA